TTACTATGAATATTGATGTAGATACTTTAGTGTGCACTAGTCATAGCTGCCACGTCAGCGATCCGCGCACTTGGTAGGTACAGAGTGGATGTGTTAGTTTACAGTGCCACGTCAGCAATCCGTGTGCTTGTAGGTAAGGATTGAGTGTGTTAGTTAGTGTGTTAGTTGGGTGCGCCACGTCAACGATCCGTGTGCTTGTTAGGGTTATCCGCCACGTCATCCATCCACTATGAGTGGTATGGATGGTGGGGATTAGATCTTATCACCTTGTACTTGTTGGTGAGAGCTATATAAGGGAGAGGAGAACCATTGTTGGTATCTCTCATCTTCAGAGTTTACGTTTCTATCTTCGAGTGAACTTCTCTCTAAACCCTAGTGTTACACTATCGCACCATCATGGTGGGTAGTGTTTTGCCAAGTTGTTTGGCAAATTGATAAAGTCAAAGTTAAGCACATGGACTGAATCTCATCGAAAAAGAACTCGGTTCCAAGTAGGTTTTTGCCCTACATACAACATCATTGATCATATCTTGGCCTTGCGTGTTTCATAAGAGAAGTCGAAGGGTAATGGAAAAGTTTTGTTTTGCGCTTTCATTGATTTTAAGAAAGCTTTTGACATTGTATTTTGTGAGTTATTATGGAAAAGGTTGCAAGTCATTAGAGTACCATCAAATCTTCTAGCAATTGTGACCACGTTATACCATTCTGTTTGAGCCAAGATCAACATTTCTCAAACTGAAGAGATTTTGAGTACCATTGGAGCAGGCCTCTTTAATTTAGCCGTTGGCCTATATTGCCTAATATAAACGAGATTAGGCACCAAATTAAAATAGAATTAGGCCAGTTAGGCATATAGCTTTAAACGGGCTCGCCAGATGTAGTTTACTGCTTCAAGCGTTGCAGCTGCTCGTACTGCTTGCATTGCAGGAATGCCTCAAGCGAAAAATCTGTCAAGGACTTGTTGAACGCATCTTTGCAAAATTTCAAAATAGAAAAGTCGCTTTCAACGGGAGCAGTGTTAGGAAATGGCGTGGCCAAGCCGTCAATGAACCGCGCGAGGTGGCCGAATCGATCATCCAATGTAGGTGCGCTCCATGCAGCGTCGAAGTCAGAACTAAGGTCGTGAGCATTGATGGCTGCTTGCATCGTGTCATTATTGCGATATGCCGCGCAGAGCGTTGTGAATTGCGATCCAATTTTGTCAATATCAGACGGTGTCCATGATGCATCCAGTCTGTCCTTTTGCGCCGCTACAAGCAATGCAATGTCTCGGCCCTTGAGCTTAATGAGTTCCGATGGGTGTGTCGGTGGCGCTAGTAGCTCGCTAACTTCGTTACGGCCGTTCCGAAGGGCGCAGCATTCGATAAAGCCCAGAACAATCTCGACGACCAAACTGGCGACGTTGTCGATCAGCTCCAATGTCGCGGCCGTATCGAGCTTGGCGAGCGCCACCATTTCGAAGTGGCCCAGATTGTCGATGAATTCCGCCACGTCATCATACAGCACCGTGAAATCATCGCGAACAAAAACTTTATCGTTGTCATCGACGTAGTGAAATCCGCCAAAGTGCGCGTCAACTCCGACCATGAGCATGAGTTCAACGGTAAGCTGCTCAACTATTGCTTGCTGCTGATTGAGCGTCAATCGGTGTCCCTGCATGCGCATGACCGCTTTGTGGATATGGCCGGTGATTGTCGCCGTCACCGAGGTCAAGATCCAGAAAGATATAGACTCTGGCTCGGATGTACGACGATGATGTCCAGCAGGCATTGCTTCATAGTGAGCGATGACCTCGTGGCGATGATCGGTCAGCCACAATGTCGCAGAGCTCATCGCATGCCAACGGGTCGTGGAAGTTTTAGGGCATACAGATCCCATTTCAGCAACCAGCGTCAGTTGGCGGCGCAGATGAGAGATCATCGCGACTAACGTTGCTAGCCACTTTCCACCATCGAGTTTCGTGTAAACAACCTGCAGTGGTATGTCGAGTTGATGGAGCAGGCACCACACGCGATGAAACCCGCCGTGCGCAACTTGCTGTAGACGAGTGATAACGCCAGATATCGCACCGGTCATGTTGGGCGCGACGTCAGACGATGCGCCAATCAATTTGTGCCTCCAATCCGGGCACAGCACATCGAAGAGTTTGCACAGCATGTTGAATTGCGCCTCGCCGGTGTGCGAACCGAAGAACGGCACTGAGATGACATGCAAATTAGACAGCCGTCGCTGTCAGACAAATCGAACGCGAATGTCGACGTACGACGTCCCTTGGCAAGTTGATGCGTCCAAAGCGATCAAAAATGCCCAGACACGATGAAGGATATTCGCGACAATCTGCAAATTGGCAGCGCACCGTACGCGGATGAAAGTGGCGACCTTCGATTGATTCATGCCGCCGAGTTTGCTGACACTAGCCTCTTCCTTGGCCGCTTGCAAAGCCAGCGCCGTCTGTTTCATGCTGATGCCAATGCCGACGTACTTGACTGCGAGGTTGTACGCCATCGGTGTTTTGATTATGACCGTGTAATCGTTAGTCTGCTCATCAAGAGTGAATATGCGCATTGCATTGTCAAATGTCAACCCGTCAATGTCGTCGGGATCCCACAGCATCTCACCGATGATCACTTCAACGATCAACTTGTCGAGGCGATACGTAATGTGGTCGCGCTCCAGATCCATATGCGAAATGATCGTGTTGACGAACGGCACAGCCACATCGAAGAACAGCGCCTTGTCGGCGTTGCTCTTCCTTTGATACGCCTCCCACATCTGGGGGTGCTGCCCAGTGAGGTGCGAGCGATAGTTCTCAGGGCGGAATTGAGGACCGAACGCCTTCTGACAGCTCGTCTTCTGTCGTTTGGCACCAACCTTCTCTTCGACATCATACGCAATGCAAAGCCGGCAGACGACTAGGTCGATCTTACCTGTTTTCGCGTCCTTGCTGACGACTTTCAAACCGTACTCAAGAGTGTGCTTCGGGTTGTATGAAGTGTCTCTCGGAGCGGGAGCCTTGCCGCGCTTCGACGCAGGTGTCATCCTTTGTTACGAACGATGTGGTAGTTACGAAACGCGAAATAGAGTCACAACGCTCCGCTTGGAGCGCTTTTAAGCATCAATTGACCGTCGCGTAATTTAGGCATTTGTCGTTGCTCGGAATAGGCAAATTAGGCATTTATTTTTGAATTGCCTAATTTAAAGAGGGCTGCATTGGAGTGATTCAAGATTGTGTTCTCTCTCCTACTCTATTTAGAGTTTTAATTTATGATATCAAAAAGTGGTTAGAGGCATGTGATAGTGAAGGTGTCAAGCTTGGAAACTTTCTTATCAAAGCTCTCTTGTATGCAGATGATATCATATTACTAGCACGTGATGCAATTATTTTACAGAAATACCTATACACTTTGGCTAGCTTTTGTATCCAAAATCAGATGGAGGTAAATATAGAGAATTCTAAAGTCATGATAGTGAGCACTAGATATAAGTTCTACTTCTATTACAAGGATCTACAATTTGAAGAGTTGATTTTTCTAATGATTATAATTGAGCATTTTGCGTGCAAAAGAAAATAGAAGTTGGTTACAAAGCTCTATATTCATTGTTAAATCGGTGTAAAAGAACTGATCTAGTGTCTTGGAGTCTTAGGAAATTTTTATTCAAAAGCTTAGTGTTGCGGGTAGCATTATATAGAACCCAAGGGAGGGTTTGGTTGTAAGAAGAGAGTATGAGAGGGTGTGAAGAGGGTGCAGAAGATATTTTTACAAGAATAATTGGGTGTGAGAAACCAAACTTCATATGTTATTTTTCTTGCAGAAACAAGTTGTTTAGCTCTAGAGTCTCAAGCTTTATACTTGATCATCACTTACATCAAAAGGGTGAGATTTCTTGATGTTTTTCGCTTTAATACTTAAGCTTTGAGTGCCACACGTGCCAAATGATGGTTAGCGGATGTGATAACTTGGTCTTTTGAGGTGGAATGTGACAGAACGCGATTGGGACTTGCAACCTATAGCACTACATGAACGTCTAAAGGATGACTTTTTGAACATTATTTGGAGCAAGCGGGCACCAAGATGCAGTTTTATCAATTTCATGTGAATCCTATGCTTGTTTATTGTGAAGAGTATTATCTACTTGTAGAAATCTTTGCATCTTTACGTTATATTATTGCTAGTCATAGAACTAGATCTCATAGGTTTGGAATTGAGTAAGTACGTTGACTTAATATGAATTGATAGGAGTGAACTTATTTGTAGAATATGTGAAGATGGATACATTGAGAATGAAGAACATGTACTTGTTATAAGAGCAAAGACATTAGGTTTGCTCATAATATAGATGTGGAGAATTTGTATTCTTTCTTATAGTATTCCTTTTGATTTAAATTGTCATTTTAGGTACATCATTAGTTACCGTTCTAGTGCTCTTGGCACTAATTAGAAATTCACCGCTTGAATCTTTTTAATTGTTTGTAATTTTCACTTGTATTGTGTTTTTCAACCTTTTGGTATCTTTTTCCTTGATTGTAATTTTCGCTTGTATTGAGTTTTTCAACATTTTGACCCTTTTGGTTTCTTGGGCTTGATTTATTACCATCATCACATAAGTGAATTTTTAACACGTAGACTTTTACAACCCTTGGTACTATCTCTACACGTATTTTAGATAAAAAGTTATCTTACTCAGGAAGCTTGTAGAAGAATTGCTGAAGTAACCACGAACCTTGTCAGATACCTTCTTATTGAGTAATAATGCGGTGATTCTTACGTTACCCTTGAAGATTTAGCACACTTGTATGCGCGAGAACATGCGTTATTCGATTAGGAGAAGCCTGGTTTTCGAGAGTTTATTATCCAATAGTCGCCCCAATCTACATTCTTGCTCTTTACATCTTTTGGTGCTTGGAGGGGTAGGTGTGTTCAAGCAGTCTGTTGGGAAGTACTTATGCCTTCCTGAATCCATGTCACCTCTCACATAACAATCATATTAGACGATTGAGGCTATTTTTTCACATTCACAACACGCACTTGTACACTTCCATGAAGAACCCATCCTGAGAGGGCACCCCAGTCCATCCAGAACTCGGGAATTAGGCACCGTATAGTTCTCTTGAAACAGAACATGACTGGTAATCACCATCTCTAGTACCAGTGCAGATTCCGTCACACAAGGCGGGAGATCCGCTATGATATCTCGAGTCTGATTGGAACTGGTAACATAAACCTCTTGCAAATATCGAATTCGAAGTCTTGGGTGGAGACTCTTCGAGTAGAAAACAGTAGCTCGGCCTCAGTAACGTGGCTTTGAAGGTTTGACTCCAAACGTGTATATGAACAAACTGAATATCGCGGCATTATAAAGCCACGTCGCTTCACAGCACATCCTCCATATTCAGATGTATGATAAATGTTCCAGATGTCAGGCTCTGGTCACGACATTGATTACTCGTCAGTGAACAAGTAAGGGAAAGTACAATCTCAGTGGCAGTGATGAAGGATTAGCTATGAGTGAAGAATGTCCGGCTTTTCTTTTCGATCCAACAGAACTCCTGTACTTATCGCCACAGAAGATGTTCCCTTCGTGGTAGTGGCCGGTTCAGATGTCTTTGAAAGCACCTACAGACGGCCCATCGTCCACGCCATGTGAAACTAAATGGATAGTAATGAGAACCCACGATCTCGACATTGCCACCATACAACACTGATCAAGGTATCTTCGGCAATCTCTTTAAATGGAGTTGAATCTGTGGGCCAAACTAACCTTGGCGAGGTCAACCGTTCCATGATCGACTTGCTACCCACCAAAGTTAACCCGCTGACAAAGTGGTCTCCTTGTGGTGCACTTTCAACTGCTGCATCCAGATTGAGTCACTCCATCCATTTTATTTTCATCCAACTGCTGCTGTGGGACTCAAACCAGTTCCTAACCGAATCATTTCAAAACGTATCCTTATTCAAGGATAATTCATGTGGTCGATGCCAGCAATGTAGATTGGAGTATCAAGTAGAATAACTGTAATCTCTCACCGAGTAAGATTACGCGTCTTATGATCTGATCGGAAGTGGGTGGATGCAAGGAGGTCCCTTGCGCATGCGGGTGGTGACTTCATGAGACATCTCTCAACATGTCTAACAAGATGGGCGCATTACTTTTCCCTTTCTTATACAACATGAACCCATCAGTAGGGAAGAAACTTAACAACCTTTTCTTTTACTGCAGATTAGGAATCACCTGTCCTGCGTTGCGACTTGTCTCTTAACAGCAAACCTGGAGGACTCGTCCGCGCCAGAACTCTGATGTCATAATCCTTAAGTCCTTGGAGTTCCGGCAGCTGTTCTCACTGAACCATCCCCACTTGAGGGAATATAGGACTCAGACATGCGTTCGTAAGCACAAACCATAATCTCCTTGCTCATTTCCAACACGTTAGATCCACCATGAAAGTTTGCTGCTCTCGAATGCTCACATCGAGATGCAAAACCTGATTCTTGTTAGACAACACTCTCGATAACATTCTAAAGGAGCCCTGCACAGCTTGCCTTCATCAAGTAATCCATCACAATAACCAATAGCTGAGGGAAGAGGGCAAAAACTACATCCTGAAGAGCAATAGGGGCTGACATTTCCTACAAAATGTTAGTGTACAAAAGTCAACTACTCCAATCACATTGCACTAATAATCTTCTGAATCTTGCTGCAACGTCTCTCCTTCTCTTCAGGCCCATCTAAATCACCAATATTATCGACGTATTCCTGTAATCCACAAAACTTCTAATTCAGAATCAAGTCCCACACCATTAAGCGTTAAAAAACAATGATATAGCAATGCAAAGACCTAAATGTACATCTCTACATTAATCTGATATACAAAAAGCGCCCGGTTACAAAAGTGTGAGAGGTAAACCTTAAGAACAGCTTTTACATCGTCTCTTGAAAGTCGTTGTTGCTTCAAGAGGAGTTCTATTCGATCTTGCATGCCACCGTGTCTGCAGGAGTTGAAACGAGAAACTTCAGATGTGATATCAAGAAAGAGGTCCAACTCTAGTGAACACCAAAACAAAATGTGAGGAAACTTACCCTGTAGCCCAAAGGTTCCCCAATATCAAAGCCAGTAGCTGCAACATGGTACCACAGAAGCTCTTCGTTAGACTGAGATAAGCGACTTGGTCTCAATTTACTTAGAACGTCCGAATTTGAGTGACAAATAGAAAGAAAACCTCGATTCGACAAAATCTCTCTCACTAGCCAAGGCGAGGTGACCTATTCATTCAGGGCTCAGCGCATGTGAAATGCCCACCTGTAAAGTATAGAGGCCTGCCTCCAGCTTCTTCAAATATCTCTCTTCATCATCAAGCTGTACATATCAACACGTAAGTGTCCAGTTTCCAGACATCAAATATGTCTGAGAAGATCGGAGCGTAGCCTTTTATGGAGCTGGCTTGTATGCTTCAAATTATGCCTGATGGAATCAACTGACAAATACGCACCTCAACATCTTCAAGTTCTTGAGCATCAAGACGTTTGCTTTCAGCTTTCACGCGATCAGAATATCTGCATTCGTAAAATTCACGTTATGTTATTTTTAAGATAAAGAAGAGAATTAGCTCTCGAAAAGGTAAAGCATACAGTCAAATTAAAACATCCAATCATCATGCGTTCATGGATCCGTGGCATGGAAAGAAGATAGCTGACTATTTGATTCATTTTGCGAAGACGTCACTATAAAACTAGCGCTTTTTGTTCTCATCGGCATTCTAAATATAAAAATGCAGAACAGGTCTATAGGAACTTCCCTTCAACCACCACCTCATACTTGAATGAATACTCCAAAACTTCAATGCAAGTGAAATGAAGGGCAAACAAAGGCCAACGTGATACCTGATGTACAACTCCATCAACCGATCAATTTTCTCGTACTCGTTCTCCTTAAATTTTTCGAGTAGCCTCTCTTTCCTAGAACCCCGAGTTAACCCACCTGCTTATCACGAAAAGAAACCTCTTAACTCAACTATATGCGAGAATCACGTGTCCCACACCTGACCATATACTGACAAGGATAAGAGAGAAAACAGAGACTCCTATCAGACCCTGAGGCGAAATGAAAAGGTCTTCAGGACATTAAATTTAATTTCGTGGCAAGCTAACGAGAGACAGGACTTCTGAAGATTTTCATCATCTTATTACCGAAAAGTGAGGAGATCAGAGAAATGACCCGCTCTTCAATTTCCTCGGGATTCCGGTCACCCTTTTTCTTTGTCTTCGTGGGTACCTGCCACAAGTCACACCAAGAAATACATCACACACCTGGCGCGACTTCATCTCAAACGTACAAGTTCGCAATTACAAATGTTTTCTGTGGCTTATACCAAACACATCAGAGAAGGAAACACCATCCGCCCGACTTTTTAATATTATTCAGGTTCTCTAAGATTCTTAGACACCACCCTCTAGTGTACAAAAGGTCTTTAGTCGAGCGCAACTAAAAAATACTGAAAATGAAATATATACGCGATCACAATCTCCATCTCCTATCGAAGTTTAATTCATCAACCTTGTGACAGTACGATGGCTCATTAGTAGAAGGAAGAAGCACTCCTAAAAGGGCGAAGGATCAAACTGGATTTGGCAACAGTCTTCTCCACCTCATACTAAGCTGCCATCCCGCCTTCAGGTAAGAATAATGATGACATCTAAAATGGAACATCACTTGCCGTAGGATTATTACACTTCCTGCAACTAAGTGTCATGTCATCGTCCCCGATTCCGCGTGAACGGAGCTCACCTTTCCCATGAAGGCAGCAAATAGAGTTTTCAGACCTTGAACATCCACAAATCGTTCACAAGCGGCCGTACAGCGGGTCATGGCAAAGTCCAGGGCTTTCATAGCAGAAGCATAAGCCAACCGCTTTTGCTTCATGATAATGATCATCAGCTCCACTCCCTCAGCTTTGACGAATCGATCCTTATTTTCGGTTGGCATCACAACGCTGCAAAGGCAGTCAAAGAGGTTCTCAAGCATTTCCTCTTCGTCCGTCGTCTTGGGGTCCCTCGACTTATACATAGCAACAGCTTGCAAAATAGTATCTACTCCATTAAGCTGTCCGAGCCGCCTCTGATTGATGGTACTATTTTGCAGTAGGATGGCTAGAATTTCAGACGCATATAGCTTATTGACGTCAAATTCTCGCACCTTCAACCGGGTTAAAAGCCATCTCAACAATTTGGTCCTTTCGCATACGAGCTCTGCTACTTGAGGCTTCACTTCAATCATGTTTTCTACTATGGACAGGGTGTTGAAGACTGCCGTTCCTTCATCGCTGTCTGCCTCATCCAGTCTGGCTAGGTTCTGTATCAAAAGCTCCAATGCATTGTTCTCAATCAGAGCATCAACCAAGATCAAGGCTGGCTCGTCACTCTCTCCAATAACGTCCTCGTCCGTGAGGTCATTCAATAGGTCGACGACCCCTATGGCGATGTCCGTGTTCTCGTGGCTCAGTAAACCCAAAATTGACGAAACTGCATTCAGCCTGACAAGCTCCGGATAAAGATCAGGAGCCGCGGCGAGCGAATGCATTTTCTTGATTTCCTCGTCCAAGTCCACCTCTGACTCCACAAACTTGTCCGGCTGATCCATATATTTCATTCGAGCTTCCAGGTTATCACGCAACTTGCGCTCGAAACCCAGCACTATCTTCTTTAGCCCCCTCACATCAATGACCTCAACGACCTCACTCGACTCCAAAGCCTCGAGCAATGCCAAATCCAAATCTTGATTCGTCTCTGCGGCGCTCGGAGGCCGAGCATCCTTGCTTGCAGCCAATCGAGGGCCTTTCAATCCATCCCCGTTAGCCAGACCATTGATGCCATCGGGCTCTCTCTTCCTCTTGCTGTTGCCCTCGAACGCCATTTCCACCAACAACTGAACCCTAACTCATGGAAGTTACTACTCCTCCTGTTGCAATCCCCAAGCTGGTCTGGTTCGACCACCGCATGCGGCCGCAGCTATTGTTTGAACTACACCCGAAATTCTCCTCTCAGTCCTGCTGTCGAACAAGGCAGGACAAAATTCAGGCGCATACTCGTCAGAAACTGCTGCGAGAAAAAATAGCCACGACAGAAAAATGCAAGCCCTACCGACTCGTAAAGACCAGTGATCCTCAAGTGTACAAAACCTGTGAGCACGGAATGGCGGGGTAAGCTTGGCTCCGACCTTCCAAATTGCCCGAAACAGCTAAACAATGAGGTGTGCGTGTAAATCTTCGTGCGCATGAAGCTCCATACGACGGAGGGAGCCGGAGGAGTAAAAGCTCTGGGAATCTTGTCACTTACGCTCGTCAGAAATTTGACGCCGGGCTCAAACGAAGCCGGTAAAGGAACGCGCACCGATCGACGGCATTTATCACTGCATCAACTCCGAGGCAGAAGGAATAGACGAAACCATTCGCCGCCAACATCAGAAGTCGAACCACAGCCGACGGGTCCCCGAGCTCTCAAAACGCCGAAGAGGGAGGAGAACGAAAGGAAGAAAAAACAAACTGAACACGAGGCCGTGTGTGATTCCTCGGCAATCAATCAATCAATCAATCGCAGACAGAGCAAGCTGGCAAAAATTACCATCTACTCCAAAATGCACACACGAGCTGCCCCGAAGCGACCTCACAAAGCTTTGACAGCGCACGCTCGCCACTCCTGCGAGCCTGGAAACACAGACACCTGCGAGCGAGCACAGCTCGTTCCCTCAAGGCATCAACATTCCTCCAGAGCACGTCTCTGCGTCTGCTGTGACTTCTACTACCGCTACTACTCTCCACTAGCACCAACCTCGAGCCTTCAAATTAACCGCGTCTAAAACCCCCGGGGGCCAAAGCCCTTTCTTGTCCTCCTTGGCCAGGGGACCGGGACGGGAACGGGGACGACGGTACGTGTTCTCGGGGAACGTTTGTTCTTCCGAGCTTCTTCCGGCTGGAGGAAGTGTGGCAGAGGTACTGTAAATCGGAATCCTCCTTCTTCTTCTTCTTCTTCTCCAGGTGCTGGAAAGGATCTTGCGGCCTGCAGGGTCGGTAAGACATGCTCAGGCTGGTTGTTGTGTGGGCCTCTTTGGGACTGTTGGTGTTCACTGCGGTTTTATGAGCATTTGTCCGAGACCGTAGTCCTATAGCATCAGTGGATTGAGGACTTGCATTGGTCTGTAAGTGCATGAGTTGGAGTTCCCTGGGTTGGAGTCAGCCTTCAACTGGGCGATTTGAGATTCACAGGCTCAGATTGTAAGGAGACCAGCTGAGCCATCGAATTGGAGTAGTCGATTGAGGGCCTCAAGGTTTTGTCAAGCACGACTGGACTGAAAGTTCATGTACTTGGTCACGAATACTGTACCGACCAGAAAGTAGGCTTGGTCTTACTTTCTGCCTTAAGTTTCATAGACAGCTTGAAGCCAATGAACCAAATGAAAGGGACAGTATGTCTTCAATCGCTGGGTCAGGTGGTGCACAAGGGTACGTGCGGACACGTATAAAACTGAAATTTTAGAAGATTGCAAGTGGACCTCCGTGACGTCCTTTCAAGTAGAACACGGAATAGAAGCTGTAAAGGACGGCCACTGGAACCCAATATGGGGAGTCCCAGTCATTGCTCTTTGTACAGAAGAATGCGAAGTACTGATTACACTGATAACACAAAACCGACAAAATGCACTCAGAGTCGGACGTGTTTGTGAGCCTCGTGCCTCCTAAATGAGACCATGTTGTTAACACTGAAACGATACACAGAAGTTTTGCTCTACCAAATCTCTTCGGGGAAGACATGGACTACTCTCACAAAATATGCCTTCCCTTGACAGGTTCTCTAAGTTTTCAGTCTTACTGATCCTTAAGAGCTGCTAATAGCTCTGCACAATTAACCTACTGGAGGTTCCCAGGTTGAGTGAGCAATTATAATCATAAGTGAAGAATAATTGTGATAATGGGTGAAAAATGATTCGCCCAACACGATGTCGCTTCAACTCTCGAAAAAAGGTTCTAACATCGTCAATAGAACTCCAGCTTGAAACCAGACGAGCAACAGCTCTACTATCAGTCTCAAGCCTTTATGAGAGGTGTACATGACATGTGTTTTCGGTTCTAAATAAATTAGAGTTCAATCAATCGGAATCTGGATCACCGTCGATTATGTCAGGAAGTACTCCATCGGAGTCTGACTCAGATCCTATCTCGACGGCCACATTGGAGAACGAAAACGGAGCCATTGCTGGGGTTTTAGGTCCTGACATGGAAGGAAATGCTCTATTGAGCATATCTGATCCACTTTCAACATCAACATCCGCTCCATCCTTAATGGAACCTTGCATAATCCCTACTGCTGCAGTATTGGCTCCGTCATCCGTCTTAACCGCTAAAGGGTCCTCTTTAGCATAGCCTAAACTTTGAAGTTGAGAACTGAAGAGAATGTCTTGTTTATTAGGTGATGGGCAATCATCTCCATCGGCTATGGTAGTTTCAGTTCGTGTACTTGCTGAATCTGCAGTATGATCTCTGTAAGCGTCCCCAGGTTCTAACATGACATCTTGAGCTAATGCTGACCGAGGAGAAAGCTCGCATCTAAGGCCACATCTAAGTCCTGACTCACTTCTTACATGAGAGTCATCACCTGCGAAGCCCTGCACCTTTGTGTCTTCAAGAGGCCTCACTACGTTGTCTCCATCTCGTTCGCCAATCTTGACCACAACAGGGCCTCCTTGACCATTGTTGATTGTTTGTTGATCAGAAACATAATAACCAGTGGGGCCAACTCCACTATCGAGACCCCCGTTGAACTCGTCTACAAGCATATTCTCATCTTCATAGAAAAGGCCATCCTCCTCACCAAAATCTTCTCCATAGCCCAACCATGTATCGACCTCAGCCCAGGGATCCATGGCCAACTGGCCAATTTTCAGGGCAGGAGGAACGACGGGGCCTGCAAAACTGATCGTAGCGGAGGCTGCTGGGACAACTGAAACATTTCCAGAAGCTGTAAGAGGCTTCCCAGGTCTCTGCATATGTGGAACTAAACCTCCTGTGGATAAAGCCCTACCCGTAGCCAAGCCAGCTGACATAGCACCGGCAGGGGGTAGACATCGAGGATGAATAAGAGGTTCCAAAGCTAGAAGGGCGTGTGCGCATACTTCAGCCACTTCTGATCCAGCCTCTTGACGACCTGTGGACCCAAAGAACAGAAATGAGCAATTCTTTCCACACGAGTCAAGACGAAGATAATGATGAGCAACGAAGCACTCATATGTACTAGCGAGAATATGATATCCCAGTACTGATTCATGACTTCATCCATCAGGATAAATGCCGGTGGCGTGCACCTTTTCTAAATATGGCAAGTCCTTGAGCAAGATAAGGTGGTCGATGACAGCACGGGGAAAGCAACGAAGACAATAGGGCTCGATAAGCTGCAACTTGGAAAGCTCCGGAAGATACAGGTGCCCCTCCATCCATGTACGTGCTATCCTCGTCAAAAATAAGGCTTGCAGTGCCTGTAGCTGCCCCCATAGCAACACTTGCCAGAACTGCATCCACTTCTGCTCTCCATCTATCCGGCAATAGAGCTCCCCCCTGGATTCGTATGAAACATGAGGTCATGCCATTGGTCAAATCAATAATTACACAAAATAACACTGGTTGATAAATAATGTCCACCGAATGTTACATCAAGTACAACAAAATAAAAAACGTGGTACACAAATCTTGTTTAGGACACTCACGTCAGCAAGAAAAGTTTGATTGTAAACAAGGACGAAGATTATTAGACTAATCAAGAGTTCATAGGAGCAAGATTTAAAACCTCGGATGCTAGTTACAATAACAAAAGTCGCGGCTGCTTACAGAGGTGAGAAGAGCCTCCAAAGCTCGTAAAGCAGCAATCTGAACGGCTGCTGTAGCTGCACCTTCACTCATGTTTGCAGCCCCTTCAGGAGTACCGTTATTTTGATGATCATTAGAGATGCATCCTCCCGGCTCCTTCCGTTTGCGATGGTTAGTATTCTGTCCACCCCATGTGTTACCAGGGGCCCACCCTGAACTGTTCATGCGAGGTGTTCGTGAAGCCTTTGGTGAAAAGATGGACGTCGCAAGGGTAGATCCTTTCAAGTCTGATAAGGCACTTCCGACGACAGCTGGTGCTAAGGCAGAGGCCATCCCTAACAACGGTCACAACGACAAGCACCAAATGTCATCTTAATGACGGTTTCAATCACAGCAGTGCTCCACTGTACTACAAATACTACCGGCCATCTGCGACGCAACCTGAAGAATTTATCCATCCACCGAAATTCATCATCATTTCATTGATGCTATTTCTGTGTGAAAAATATGTACCTGCTCCCATTGCAACAAAAAGATGTCTGGCGAAATCATACAGCTTGACTCGTAACACGGGAGCCACAGATCCGCAACGCCGAAAAGACTCAGATACAAGCCGCACGACATCACCACCGTGTGGCAGCAACTGACTGAAAATAAAACCAGCAAGGTTGGGTTCATTAAGAAAAACCACACACAGACACATCAAAATGTTTTGCAAGAAAGATCTATCTAGGCAAAGGCGAGCAACGAAGACAACTGAAACTTGGGTCCTAACGATAAGACTGCGTACCTGCGAACGCCACACAGTAAGGCAGAGAGAAGATCTAGTGCACTTATGTGAAGGGCTGGAAGTTCAGAACATAAGGAAACTTGATGCACACTCGACACCGCAACGTTCATCGAGTTTGGCATTGATATCCTTGATCCATCGACTCGCAGTACTCTCGTCGCCAAAGCCAACAAAGGTTTTATTGGAACAGGAACCTTTACCACAAGCAAAGTACCAATTGGTTGCAAAGACCAAGTCAGCTAAAGTATCAATGCCAAAAGCGTGTGGAGCTCATATACACTGTAACCTGTAACGAGATAACAACAAGACCGAAAAAAGGCAGGCTGCTGTAATTTATAGGGGATAGTCTTACAGACTTGAAAGTTTTGGTTATTCGAATCCTACCGGAACTGGATAAGGATTTGTTAAAAGACTTTGACAGCACTGAAGAAGAGACGAAACGCGTGGGACAAGTTGTTGCCAGAAGCTTTTCGCTGCTTGAGCTGAGGCATTCGCTGCTACCGATGGACCTCCCAACGGCCAGGGAGGATCCTGACCCAAAGGTAAAAGTGTTGCCAGTGCATCTTCAGCACTCGCCACTGCATCATCAAGTTGCCACAAAATGAGCCCACTAAATTGTGATGACTCAGTTCTCGAGCTTTTAATGTCAAGAAAACTGAAGAAACCTATCATGCGGAATAGTTAGTCTCGAGAACCTACCATCTTCCATGCCAGAGAAAGCATATTCCAATTCCGTGTTGATAGCAATCAAGATGCGCCGAATCATGGAACTCCACATGGTCACATCGCCATGAGCCTTGGGAAGGAGGGCTAAACAAAGGGCACATTTCTGCATCATACACAACCAGCAACTTAATTCAACCTCGCTGTAGGAATCCTACCTGCGTCCACAACGAGCTCACTATAGATCCGACTAGAACAAATTTTACATCAGAAAACTGAAGAGGTTTTACATCATCCTTGAGCCGAATCCTGACCTGGGAGAGAGAGGAACTATCGGAATCCATCAGCCGTGCCACGAGAAGAGACTCCAACTGCGTGTATCGATTGCAATCACGTGAATACAAGCACCAACGAAAGAAATTTGTAAGCTATTACAGATTACTCTCTGGATCTGTAGCTGACACATCGTTTGAGTAAAGTTAGGTTGAGAGCATACCCTCAACGACGTACTTTGAAATTTCTGAAATATTCACAAGAAAATGAAATGTACTTTCACCCGCACTTTAAGCCTAAAGGTTTTGAGCTTGGAAACCAATAGAAAAACAGCTGTCCTTTTTGTTGGAGTATACAGACAGCTACAACGTGCAGGTTGTGGACCCTCACATTGTTAGTTTGCTGCCGAAGACACGCAGGAAAACATCGTAGAATTGAAGACAAGAGATCGATGGCTTCGTTCTGCAATTGTCACAGTGATTTGAGCCTCAGTAAGATTTCAAATGCAAATGATAGTCAGAGATAGGCACCTCCTTGGAAGACCTGTAGCTTGTTTCTTCTTTCAAGAGTTAACTAACAAACAGAAGCTGCTGCTAGATACCGAGAAAACTGAGCACGATATTCAATAGAATGAAAACCATACCAAAGACAAGCGGAAAAGCCAAAGCCATTGAGTATCCGAAATTCTACTTTGTTTCAATGCATGTGAATCCATGTTGTCATCAATGGTAAACTTCACTCTGTTGGGGTGGACTTCCTTAGACAGATATGCTTTGAATTCATATGCCTTGTCTCCTAGATGATTTCAGATCCCCCAATGATCTACTACTCTTGAAAAGCATAAAATTTAACTAAACAATGCCGAACATAGAATTTGACAAAGGACGAAATCTGTATTGAGCGGTTTTTCTTGATTCAAATGAACCATGCAGCATGAGGCGTTTCCAGCTTTCCAGTTCATACCATCCTTTTTGTCTGACTTGAAAAAAGGTATCCTATGTTCAAACCTCGCTGCTCGTTAATTTACGTCAGATGAACTTTCTACTTCCACCCAAAAACCCAGACAACTTTTGCGCGGACCTTAAAACAAATCGCAGTAGGTACACACCCATATGCCACTCGAGTCCTTGTCACCCAGTATCTGTAAAATAGGCTGCACCAATTTTGCTATCAAAGCAGCGCCATCACGTCTCACTCCTGCGTACTCCACTAGGCTCCCTAATCTGCGTCATCCAATACATACACGAAACTAAGCGCTAAGCGGGCAAGAACAAGCGGCATCAATGCCAGCAAATATCTGCTTGTTGTACGTGAACTGGGCAGGACTCGAGTATCTACGTACAGAGAGGTCAGATTGATTACGCTTCAGTGATACTCTTCTCAAGAAGTCCATCAGACATTCACATCGATCCTTCCAACATACGACTGACTTGTAAGACAAGCGCAGTTATGACTACTCAGACTCTTCCATGCTCCGAATTGGTATTTTTAAAAATAAAAAATAAAAAAACCTCGAGTACTAAGAAGGAATGGATGAAACCTCGTAAGAAGATCCGTTAATGACGCACAAGCAGCTGCTCGTATAAATACTGGATCCGTGGACTGCTGCATTTGCAAAGACAACAGAAAGTCAAAGATTGCAAACTAATTACTGAACAGAAAAACGTGAATGGAACGAACCCGAAGTGAACTTATGTTCCGAATAGTCTCGAATCAAAAAGTAAACCTTGAGAGGAAGCAAAAGCTTCTGAAACCAAGAGTTGTAAGACTCCAGGAAGCGCTGACGAGAACATTCTTGGCACGTAACTCCAAGAAGACATAAGCCTGCCCATCTGTTCTCCGCCTGCAAGACACAATTGCACGATCACATGGACTAAGTGTTCGATTACGGGCAAAAACTGTACGGGAACTTAACTCAGCGCGAGCACAAGAAGAAAGCGCACAAAATGAATTCGGACAAAATGTTTGCTCGGACGGCATTGTTCATCCCCGGATAATTCTTGGTGAAAAAATAGTGATCAAAAGATGTCCTTCGTCAATGCATAGGAAATAAACAAACAACACGGTAATGAAAACAGATGAGCGAAACATACCACTGTGCTGCAGAGAAGACCCAACAAATGATCAACCCAGCCATCAACAACGCTTTTCCTCGATTCACCACTCTTACTCATACCAGGAGTCCCTGATGATGGTGTCTCTGCCAACAGATGGTGGCGACGAATCGATGCAACGGCCACAGACAGCTGAGCTGGGGATCTAGGCAACTGTTTTTCGTCAGGGAGATGAGACATCATAATAGAGTGCAGAAGCCGATGCTTCAGTCTAGAATCGTACATATTGAACAAACCCTCCTCGAAAGACATCTTGGCAGATTCGCGATGGATTGAGCGTGATCACTTGGTAATTCGGTTTAGGCTCTGCTGTTTCTGTGACCTGATACTTAGCCAAGAAAAATTTCCACAATCTGAGCTAACTGAATCTTCAGAGGCACTGGTGGGTACTCTGAGCCGTTGATGTCTGAAGGACTCTTATACCGCAATAATAAATTCGGACAGATTAGGATTAGGGGCTCTGAAAAATCAGAAAATCTCCATATAGGAAACCTTTCATCAATGTCGACTGAGTCGAAGAAATGTTTGTCTGCAGTGGTCAACTTCCCGGCAATTTACTGACTGCAGCTCGGTGCGAGGAAATATGTCGAATTCCAAATGAGGCTCAAGTGGACCCAGACACGCTTCCAGAATGAAAACGGCAAAACTAAAGGCCCTGCTCAGTGACTAATGAGGACCCGATTATACAGAACCTCTGAGGCCTACCAGCTTGCATGAATTGGACTCTGTTTTCGATCGCACCAAATGCGGGGGCCACAATAAAGGCAATACGAATGAGAACAATCCCACCAATTGGCCCATATGTAAAATTTCCGCTCACCCCTCAAACACATGCAGACGGGGTACAGCACGGTACTCCCCCGGAAATCCCCCTAAATCTGTTTCAACTTCCGCATCAACATTCATCAAGACAGAATTCTTCAAATCCACCTTCGAGTTCGGCCTCCTTGGCCCACAGCAAGGCGCCTGGCACTACACCAGGACTCCTAGAACCTCCTCCCTCATGCAGAATCATGGCTTCCTCTTCTGTTTCTTGCAATGCTACAATGCAGCCAACCGAGACAGCAGCACCCGCAGCAAAACGAGCGAATATTCATAAACCCGTCAACGCGAGAATCCCCATTCTTGACAGGGTCTCTGAACCTCCGACGAACGAAGGTCTACGAGCATTGTAAACCCCAGCAATCCCCACGCCTTCCAAAACCTCGATGCTTCTCGGAGATCGATGAAGAATATGAACAACGACGGGCCAGAAGAGCGCGAGCGAAGTGAGGAGGCGCCCAGCAGCGGAGAGGCGGCCACGGCCGTTGTCAGCGCAGCAGCGCAAGCGAAAGCGAACGACTGCAACCGAGTTCCCCAAGGCCGCAGCCGCGCTCCCGTTACGCTTCCCCTGCTCCAGAACCTCCACTGCAGTACTTCTCGCTTTACGTGGTTCCCTCTGCTTCCCCGCCGTCAACCCTCTTCCCCGATCTTAACCGTATTTACTGTGTGCTAAGTACAGTTAAGAGAGTTTTTCGTGGATCACTGCAACAATCATTTTCTCGGGAGTGGATCAAGTTCCTTGCATTCGGATATCCTTATAAACTGAAAGTTTGAGATAAACTCTCTTTTTTTTACGGAACTTATACATTACTCTATTAGTCAACATCTGTGAAAATCCACCGAAATGACATGCTGGAACATGTGTATCCTGCATTACGGGACACATCTAAAATGTTATGTCGCTAATTTTAAGGAATTTCAAAAAGGTTAATGACATGCATTTTTACCTGCTTTACTCAAGTAGGAACACGCACTCAGATGAAAACTATCTCAAAAGAAAATAAGCTCGGTAACTTAAGAAGCCGCATGATAAATACGAAAGACAATTTTTCCGTCGCCGTGGGCCATAGTGATGGTGTGCATTACAATTTTTAATTCCACAATTTAATGATAATACTCTCGACAGAGCGTTTCATAATAATCTTGCTATAGACAGTTCACAAAATAGGCTCACTTGCCTCAATGGCCTAGTCCGCTCTCAACGTCGTAGGATATTCGCTTGCAACGTGAAACGTCCAAGGTTCGCGCCATCCGTCTGTAGAATCTTGGTATGTTTGCCACCACGGATCAAACGGCGAACTGCGTCTGCCACTCAACCTCGGGCGCTGTAAGTCCAGGGTTTAACCAGTTTTCCTCAATCGTTGTTCAAAAGGACCGCGACTGCGGTTGATGATTGCAACTGAATTCAAGGCTCCTGTCCGAGGGCAGACGAAACTTGAACCGCCGCTCTACAGTATATCCCCTCCAAGCCTTGCACCAACCTCCAGTTACAGTAGAGCTTTTGGGACGAGGTGGTCGTCCAAGGGTAGACAACTCCGGTCGTGGAGACCGGGAATTGCAGGTCATTCGCGACTTGAGTTTGGAAAGATCCTCTCGTCGATTTAATAGTGGAAAGCTTGCCAAATGGATAGGAAAACGATGTAAAATCCCATCCAGAAAACACTTAACACATCCCGGGGAGAATAACCCCCAAATGGGAAAGCCCATCAAACAGCACAAAGAAGAAATTAAATGAAAAAAAAATGCAAGGCCGTAACTGTGTTATAAGGGAAATACTTTCTTCTAAGTCATAGAATAATTTTCTGTTGCAGGTCAATTTATTTCCAAACAACAGACGTTTATTTTCTCGCTATTTTATCGCTAACTATGATAGTTTGTAATACTATGGAGGCACTTCGGCTGAAATAGGTTAGGGTTAAGAATTGAAACCACGTATATGAAGGCTATGTGCGAATACGTTTGCCTTGTATTGTTCTATCGACCGATTGATCCAGTATAAGTATGGATCTATACCCCTAACATAATTACCAGAACACCAGCACAATCATGAAAGACAACTGAGAGTTTGCCAACTTGAAAAGCTGCTCACAGTTCTCAACCCACCGCAAGAACACGACCTTCGACAATCCCGCCAGAAATTCCACTAATATTTTGGACATCACCAAGTCTGGCTACCGGAAGTCCGCAGCCACCATTCTTTTCGCTCTTCTTGGATGGACCCCACCAGCCACTACATCTGTACAGTACATATCTGTACTTTATCTGCTGCCTTAAATCTCAAGACACGAACTTACGGAACCTCCGTACTTGGAACTGAGAAATAGTCAATCATCGGCCTAATGATGCAGAAGATTTCGAAGATTAAGGGTCGTCAACTGAATATTATTATTTTGCAATTTTCTGCTTTTCTCCTGGCCAGGTGAATGGCAGAATTCTAGATCATTCTGAGGCGCAGTTTGAAGGTTTTGGGATTTTATGAGGTTGTTAATGCCAACATTTGGGGAAAATAGACGGTGCGTAACTCTACTCTTGTGATTGGCAACTCGAAAATAAGGCGGGCAAGTTGTCTAGGAAAAGAAATGGTAAGATGCAAAGTAACGTAAAGTATGCAGCGCAGCACATCCTGAAGGGCAAGCTATTCTAAAAACATTGGAAATATTTATCCATCTCTACAAGTAACTAAATGGGAAACGAAGGGCAAGTACTCAATCATATTAAAACATAAGCTACAAAAGCATCCAATGTCAGATGATTTGAAAGAAACATCAGAATCTTAAAGCCTATCGTTTCACATGAATCTAATGGCGATCGACTGCTTATGCTTTAACGAAAGCTACATACACTTAAGTACCAGATACCAGTTGTTGTTAGCTCTATAATGTCAACTATGGTTTGCAGTAGCACTCTATTTTCACACATACCTATGAGTGAAATCTAAACAAATAAAATGAAATTCATTCGTTCATTAAAAAAATGATCTTTCCTGTTGATTTTTCTTATTAATGATGACTTTTTATATTAAATTTAAATTATTAGATAAAATTTAACTGATAAAAGAAACATATAATAAGATATTATTTTAAAAATTATCAACCTTAGAGCATAAATTGTAGAATTTCCACTGCTATTTTTTTAAATTTCCACTTATATTCTTCAAATTTTCTTTGTGATAATTGAACAAAAATGATAAAGAAAACCAGGAAGTGAAGAGTACATTTGTATATTTTATCAAAAAGTTGTTGTCTCATTTTGATTATACTTGGTCTACAATTAAACTTTGCTCATGACACCTTCACTTGATAGTAATTTTAGTTAACAATCAAACTAGCTTAACTTTGCTATGCTACTATTTGCATACATTACATTGATAAAAATATGATTTATCAAAACATAATTTTTGCATTTTCAAAATCAACTTTAAATTCAACTTATGATCTTACTCTAACACTTTTACTATACCGTACTTCACAAAAAATTGTTTAACAAAAACTTGCTATTTATAGCAAATACTGCATTATTTAATGTTAAAATAATTTTTTTTAAAAAAAACTAGTCTTATAAGTTCTTTTCACGTAATCATCCAAAAAATTGACAAACGATCTCGAACCAGTTGCTCTTCATATCTACTCCCACGATATTGATATGGCGAAGATATTTTCTTGTTCAATAAATTTTTATTTGTTATTGTCTTCATTTGTTATCACGTGTAATTTCTAAAAATGAAACAATTATTGTTGTCAAATTGTGAAAATTAAAAGTGGATGAATGCTCAACAATATCGAAGAAAATCACAAAAGAATATTGAGACTTTCTACGATTGATTCGTCGTGAATTTTTTCCACAACTTCATCCAACGATTATTAAGTCGTCAACAATGTCAAGCTCAACATCTTTTTTGCGGTATATTGTCATTGAGACACGTCAACAACAACTACATTGTTCTTTCAAATGTAGTAACTTTAAAATTCGGTTGGATCAAATTCTGAAACAAATCAAACAATTTCCTTATATTGTACAATGACGTGGGAACATATATTAAATATCATCTTATTATATTTCCACAAGTTGCTTGCAAATATGGACCCATAATTTACGTGCTCTATGTTCTTGATCAACCTAATGACCTTTCAAAACTAGATCTGTAATCATCTTTAGTTAGTCAGAACTAAAGTAGAAGTTACTCTAAATGTTGACTCTAGTGCACGCTAAAGATATAGATAATTTAGCGTGCATTAGTCATAACTTTAGCAATCAACGCGATTGGTATGTAGAGAGTACGTGTGTTAGTTGACAAACCACGTCAGTGATCCGTGTGCTTGTTAGGTAAAGATTAAGTGTGCTAGTTTGAACCGTCACGTAATCAATCCGTGTGCTTGTTTGGGTTATTTGTCACGCCATCCATCTACTATGAATGGTATGGGTGATGAGGATTAAATCTTATTTCCTTATACTTTTTGATGATAGCTATATAAGGGAGAGTATAACCATTGTTGATATTCCGCATCTTGAGATTTTATCTTTCTATCTTCAAATGAACTTCTTTCTAAAGCCTAGTGTTTCAGTATCACAATGAAGATGTACTACAGCAAGTGGATTCAGTATGTTGATTCTTTCAACGTCTTTAAAATCCTTCTATAAAATGCCAACTATAGAAAAAACTACAAAAATGTGAACATTTCAAGCAAGGTGGAGGTGGATTCAAAATTTCAAAACTCAACTTCAATCCATCGGTACGTGTCAGCAGTATCAGTTGGCAATCGTCCAAAAAATTGCAATTTGGCCAAGCTATTTGAATCCAATACATATAATTTCAAAACAACAAAAACTTTTGGTTATGGAAGAATGATCAAATATTTAGAGTAAAAAAAGTTCGTTGTCAAAATGATGGTGTTGAAGTGAAAATCGAGGAATTTTTTGAGCAAATCGGCCTCATATAATCTGCTCATAAATAAATTCGGCCATGAAAATGAAGATGATAATATGGAATGGGAGAAGAAAATTAAAATTCATTAGGGGAGTATATCTCCAGGTTTATTGCAATGACAGGTCGGCGTTCTTATGACACATCAGTTTTTTTTTAAAAGTGAATCAATATGGCATACCGTCTCTGTCAATTGATTGCAAATTTGCATTGATGCATGTTTGCTGATTTGTGCAATTATGAAATTTGCTAGTGTGACTCGTTTGGTAAGTGCAGACAAAACGTTACTTCAATATTATGAGAATGAAACATATTTAATTGCTTTAAAGAATGTCAAACAAGTCCATTTCAATCAAGAAATGTTCCACAATTATGATGGTATGTGAGATATTTCAATCACAAATAATCTCTCATATGATTATGATGATTGACAAACTTGATGAAATGTTGTCACAAAGATTCGCTTCTTGGTATATGACTAAAAAAATTACATTTCTCCAAAGCATTGGATGTACAAACAAGTATGTTGCACTTATCTGAAATGATTGCACTTGTGTTATCCAAATGAAAAGATTGAACTGATATGAAACATCGC